TAATAAAGTAACTGAGCAATTCCAGAACTGTCCCGTGGAGTTTCTTGGGCTGAACCTGACACAGTTCAGTCATGGGAGAGAAAAAAGTATTTTGGGAATTCATAGCGTTCTTTGTTTCTGAATTATATATTTATATATTTGTTATATATTTTCTTGCAAACTAAAGGCCTGAATAGTGGGAGCCCAAGGAACAGTTGGTTTAAATAATCCCTTCATATAAAAAAGAAGCTGTGGTTTCCCGCCCTTTTACCATTCCAAGGATTTCTGCAGATTATACTCCCTTTCACTTGACAACATGTAAGCAGTGCAATGTATTTGCAGGAGCTTATTGTTTAGAAAGGAATGTGCTGCTTGTTATAGCTCTTATAATTGATTTACACTCAATACGCCTGAAATACTTGGTATTCTAGAATTTTCCTCATAATCTGTGAGAGATATATGGGAAGCATGCTGCATGACTTCTAACCTGATTATTTTGTTTTCATGCTATTACTATCAGTAAAATTGCAAGTGAAAACATTTTGTTACATTGTGTATTTAATTGAGAGCCCTGTTGTTCAACTGTGCTGTTTTGACAATAGTTAAGCCACATGAAGACGTAACAACGAAGACATAGCATCCTAATGATAGATTCTTCCATTCTTTGGGGATACCACTAATTTCTTCTGAGTCTTTGATACTGAAGACATTAGAGTTTCACCTTCCTCAGAAAGGAGGGAAATGTCATAGCAATGATAATGAAACTTGTCTGGAACTACTTTTATTATATTAAAAGTATTTTTACTGAGTTGTGTTTTCCACCTATATGCTTATATTAAATATATCTGAGGCTAGTAATTTCTGGTGGATTCTTGAGGTTAATGTTTGAAAATAAATGGTAATTTAGTGCATACTCACAAAAAAATCCTGGATTGGTGATGAAAAATAGTCAAAGGATTATAACTATGTTTTCAATCATGATTGGAAGATAAAGAAAAATGTTAAATACCATGTACTGAATAATCTAAATACTTCAAAAATGTTCTGGTTAGTGAAAACTAGAGCAGATTTTCTTGCTAGGAGTAAGTCTTATTATCAGCTATAGCATGAAAAGAAATCATAATTAGCTTTGAGATATTATTTTAAACTTTTTGAAAAAGGAGACACCTTATTAAAATAGCATTGTATCACTATGTTGAATACTAGTGAATACTACTATGTGAAGAAGTCCTTCATTTTATTTATCTGAATCTTCCATCATTCAGCTTCATGGGATAATCTCAGGTTCTAATATTTTGAGTGAGAGAGAAAAGTTTTCCTATAAGTTTATAAATAGTCTATAATGTTCCTTGGTTATCTTTTTTCTAAACTCAAAAGTTCCAAGTGTACCCTTTCCTCATTAGAAATGTACCCCTGTTCTAACACAATATTGTTTTTGAATGAAGCTTCATTTAAACTGCCATTTTCCTGTTTATTCTCACAAAATTGAACATCAATCTTGTAAAATACCATACCTTAATTCAACATTGCCTCCTTCTAAATATTGGGAATAGGATTGCTATTTCCAAAATGTATAGTCAACACTGATATGAGAGAAAAGAGACAAGTGGATTATGCCACCAACATAAAAGTGACAATCAATAAGAAACAATAAAGGGCTATTGTCCAAGATCAAAGATTAAAACCAAAATGGGGCTGAAGTATGTGTTTGGAGGAGTGGGGATGTTGTAGAGGTCGTAAGGGTTGTGAGTTCAGTCAAATGAACTTGAAAGACTTAAAAGTAGTAGGTTGGGGATAGGAGCTAAAGCATGAAGAATTTGGAAATAAGTAGGTCAAGGTTGCCACCTCCACAGTCAAATGTGTGCAAAAGAAAGACTTCCAGAATGGGAACTGTTGCTGAAATTGGAGAGCAGAATTCAAGATTCAGTTACAACAATAGTTGACTGGATTGAGAGAAGAAAGTACCACGGAGTATGGATGATTGTTGTCTCAAGAGAGGAACAAGAAAAAGCAGCACTGAAAATACAGAATCCACAATTGGATATAAAATTGAGAGATAGCAGGTGTGTAAATACAAACTGGACTCTGAAACACGTTCTGTATCATTTCTGGAACATATCAGGATTTGTTTCTTTCTTGAGAAATGTGAAGATTAAGTTATTAGTTTCAGATTTATAGATTTATAATTTCAGATTTATAGCCCATTCCCTGTGACAGAATCCTAAGCTGATGTCACCCGCCTGGCATATTCTTCAGAATTATGCTGATT